GAGCTCGCCTCGGAAGAAGCTTTTAAGAGGTCAGTTAGCTCCACAAGCAAAGTAAGAAATCTAAAATCTTAACTGGCAAGGTACAAGACACCCCATCATTTTTAAGAAAATGGCCATTAACACGATTGGCTTCGAATTAAGGGAACACAAATGTAAAAGGCTGCAGTCTCCACCTAAGGCCACTGGGGCTACCATCACAGGTCTGGGGCAACGTGACTGAACTTACGGACTTGATCGCAGCAGGGATTCGCTTCCACAGGTACCTCGCGTTATTCCTAATTCCCCAAGAAAACAAACAAACAATTATCAAGGACAAGGGAAAAAACATCTTTCAATTAATGTTTGTTTTCCAGGGCCCAATACAAAGGTACAGACTTCCCCTCTAAAATATCCCACACAACAGGGCTGCACGAGGCTTAGTTAGTCTGGGAAGAGCAGTTGTTTGTGCCGTCGAGTCAGAATCAACTCAGACGGGTTTTCAGAGGCTGTGAATCTCACTGGAGCAGCTGCGGGATCTGAACCGTGTGCCTTCCGGACGGCAGCACCAGTCCTGACTGTTCAACCACCAGAGCTCCCCTGCACACAAATCCATGAAATAATTTTCCTGACTGGCATACATGGCCACGTACAGTGCCTTTCCCTCGTTAAGAACCATGCCCGAAGTTACGGCAGCAGTACACAAGACGAGGACTGAAACAACGATTTTCCAAGCACACATTCCAACACAAAAATAAACAGCTGTGTGTACGGGGGGACCGCCGAGATTCTGCCGGCTTATTTTCAGAACCACAATAAAGCAAATGACTCAAAAAGGGGGTCCCACGATGTTTTTGGTTACCCAGTGAAGTCAGTCATGTTTACAATGTATTACAATCCAGTGTGGTCTATTACTGTGTACTAGAACTTCAGCAAAATGTGACCCGGACATGCAGCAAAGCGAGTGTGGGCCACACAGTGAGCATGCGGGGGAAATGAAGCCAGTGGACTGGCCTGAGGCAGGGTGCCCACACCTCTTCAGCTGTAAACAAGGCAACTACATCAAAATGGGGTCTGCCAGTGTCAAGACCTGACAGCTCCCAGACGGCATGGAGGGTACACAGCGCACTCTCCATCAGGGCCTGTCAACCTCACCATGGTCTGTGGGCAAAATGTGCTTGATATTTTGTTTAAACTCAATTTTTTGGTAATACATTATCTGCGAATCACACACTTTGGGCATGTTGCTAGGAGAGGCTAGTTCTTGGACAAACACTTTAAGCGAGGAAAGGTGGAGGGTCAGCGAAAGAGAAGACCCTCAAGGGACAGCCAGTGACTGTAACCATGGACTTGAGGATATCAGACAGTGAGGATGGTGCAGGACAGCGGTCAGATCCACAGGGTTGCTGAGTCACAGCTGACTAGACACTATCTAAGAACAACAACAAAAGCATCACGTTTGGTGTTTTACAAGTTTTCAAATTTGAAAAACTTCTGCTTGAAATTTGTAAGCTCTCTTCCCTGGAAGGGGCCATGAGGGGAAAGTGCCGTGTTCCCCGTACACTGTCCATGACTCAGAACCCTGTTTCGATGTGGGCTGAGCGGCAGAACCCCGGGATGCTGCCGCTGCTGTGCTGAGTGGAGGGTACGTACATGTCATTATGCAGCAGATACAGCGCCAGAAGCTGACCGTACACTGGGGCTGTGGCGATTCCTCCAGGAGCCTAGAAAGCCAGAAAGAAAAGACAATGACCTCATTTATCATGTTTCATTTAAAGAGAGAGCCCAAGAAGTCCCCAGGTTAAGTATGTCCCACTGGTGGACAACGTGTACTTAAGCACGGACTGCCATGACACAGATGGCATTTTTAAAACCTGAGTTCAATACAATGGCCTGTGTTACCCTCCGTGCCTTGGCCCCAGGCAGGAGAGGTCAGATCACATTGCTCTTGATCTTGTGTTGAATGTTTAACCTTGTATCGCCGTCATCTACAAGAGCTCTGAAGCCTGCCCTGTCCTGAGCCAGTCTCACTGATCGCAACACACCTATCCTCACTGCGCCAGTCACTGTGTCAATCCATCTCACACAGGGTCTTCCTCTCATGCTGTCCCTTTACCCTTCTGAGCATGTCCTTCTCCAAACACTGGTCCCTCCTGGCCACATGCCCAATAGATGAGAGATGGAGCTTCAAAATCCTAGCCTCCAAGGAAAAACTTGGTTTCACCCTCTCCAAGACAGACCTATTGGCTTTCTTGGTGGTCCATGGTATGTTCAAGACTCTTTTCAGCACCACAACTCAAAGACATTAATAATTCTTCTGTCATCCTTAGTCACTGTCCAGCTCTCTGATGCATAGCCAAGTAACTGCAAAGACCATGGCCTGGATCTTAGTCTCTAGACTGACATTGCTTTTTAATGTTCTGGAAAAGGCCCCAACAGCAGATTTTTCCAAGTGCTATTCGTCTTTTGTTTTCCTAACTGCTGGTGCCAAGCAAGCGGAAACTGTTAACCTCAGTCTCCTCTCCGTCTGTCATGGTGCTGCTAATTGGCACACGTACTTGCCAGGGGCTTACACAGGACATCTGCAAAGCCAGGCCAGCTGTGGCTGATGTCAGTAATTAACAGCAGTGAGCATTCTGGTGGTCTAGAAGGTTAGAAAGTTGTGCTGCCAATCCAAAGGCAGGGGGTTCGAACCTGCCAGCTGCTCTTTGGGAGAAACATGAGTAGTCTCCTCCCATGTGATTTGCAGCCTCTGAAAACCTGCTGAAGGGTCAGCTGTGGGTTGATTCCAACTGGACAGCAAGGAATTTGAGGTGGTGGGGTTTTTTTTGACATAAAAATGGTGCTGCCGAAGAATCACTGTCTCCCAGGCTGAAGAACCAACCAATGAGGATGTGAGAGAAGGCGAGTAGTGGATGAAAGCACTCAGGAAGACAACTGGGACCCAAACGCCCTAATCAGGCAGGGAGTGTGATGAGAGAGCTGAAGGCTTTCATCTCAATACGGCAGGGGCTGCAGAGTCAGCGGAGCAAGACCTCAAAACAGATCCTAAAACCAAATTTACCATACAGCTGTTCTCAAGGGCCCCAGCTGCACAGAGCCATTTATGACTAGACGGGTTATAAAGGAGCACTGGTCACACCGTCACTTCCAAGAAGTTAATGCCAGTAATGCACACAGCCCTCACCAGCGGATGTGGACCCCGACTCTGCAGCACCATGTCCACCGCCAGGCCGACCATCCTCAACATCCGTCATCTCATCTTCCGCGTCATCAACTAACGCTGCCAGCATGTTACCTCCTAGTGTGTAAGAACAACAGTGCATGCTGGAACACAAGGAACTAGGGCGCCACCCTCTAACCATGCTCTTTACCACTGCTCTACACCTCACACAGACTCTCTCCTCCGTCAGGACAGCACCGAATGTTCATGGTTATTGTTATGACTATACTGTGATGATGACAGAGTGCACCACTGGTTTATAATATTTAAGTGTATTTAGAGTTAAGTTTTACATGCAAAAAAGGTAAAATATATACTAAGACATACATACGGTTGTTACAGTTAGGTGCTGTCAAGTTGAATACGACTCACAGTGACTCTATGAACAAAAGATCTGAACGCTGTTATATCCTGTGCCATCCTCACACTTCATGACACACACGAGTCCACTGCATCAGTTATCATGTTAATCCACCTGGCTGAAGGTCTTCCTCACCTTTGCTGACCCTCTACCCTTCTCAGTATCACCTCCTTCTCTAAGGAATAGCCCCTCCTAGCAACATGCCCAAAGTACGTGACATGAAGTCTCGCCGTTCTTGCCTCCAAAGAGCACTCTGGCTGCACTCTCTCCAAGACTTATCTGTTGGTTTTCGTGGCCGTCCATTGGCTGGTCAGTGCTTTTCTCCAACACACAGCTCAAAGACATTAACTCTTCTTCTGTCATCCTTATTGTCAGCTCTCAGATACATAGCAAGTGATTGGAAAGACTATGGCTTGAATCAGATGCACCTTAGTCCTCAAACTAACATCACTGTTGTTCGTTGTTATGTGCCGTGGAGCAGTCTGTGACCCACAGCGACCCTATGTACAGCAGTTCTGAACCATGCCCTGTCCTGAGCCAGTCTCACTAATTCTAACACACCAGCCCCCATTGCCCCAGTTACTGTATCAATCCATCTCATCCCGGGTCTCCCTCTCGTGTGCTGTCATTACTCCTCAATAATTTGGAGAGGTCCCTAATTGTATAGATTTTTCCCGGTGTAATGTATCTCCTTATTTTGTGACTGCAGGTACCTAGGGTGTAAATTGTGGATCCAAGCAAGATGAAGCAATTAACAGTTTCAATCTCCTCTCCACCCATCATGATGGTGCCTATCGGTCCAGTGGTAAGAATCTTTGTTTTCCTGACACGGAGACACAAACCATACTGAAGGCTACATTCCTTCATCATCTGCATCAAGTGCTACAAGTCCTCCCCACTTTAAGCAAGGTTGTGTCATCTACATAACAGAGTTATTGACAGATGATTAACTGGTAATAAATAAGAACTGTATGACCCTTGTTTGTGAAAGTCAAATTTTTAACTTACTTACAAATTTGATATACACACAGAATTAAAACACCAGATCTAATCTGTAACCTAGAGAATGTCTATTTAAGTACGGAGTATATTTTATCGCCCTATAACATGTAGTAAAGCAGCTTAAAAAAGTATCAAACTCTAAAATTCACTGAACAAAACGAGATTTGTTAATTGTGGTTTTAACTTGTACTGGAACTTAGTTACCAAGCAGCCCTGGTAGCACAACGGTTAAAGCAACTGATGAACCCAAGGATCGTTAGACAACCCACCCCTACTCCCCCCCACCCCAGCTTTCCGTGAAGATGTGCGACCTTGGAAATCCGATGGGGAAGTTCCCATTAGTTCCAAGAGTCACTACAAGCTGGAATCGCCTGGACAACAGATCTCAGACTGGTCCGAGACGCTAAGTTTCTTTATAGACACACACTCTATCTAGTTAGGGCCCCTTTCCAATGTCGTGCTGCTAATCCAAAGGCTGCTGGCTTGGACCCACCAGCTGCTCTGAGCGACGGTGGGTCGACACGAGTCAGACCTCACTCAACGGCTGTGGATTTCCAGAGGGTGCTACAGAGACATTTTATTCAACGTTAGGAAACGTTTGCTAAGTGTTTATTTTTCACGAGCTACATAGCTATTCTCTCCTTTAATTATGAATATTAATTAAAGAAGTCTAAAAAAAATAAAATCCACCTCTGAAAAGCCTAACCTATTAACTTTAATAAATGCATCCTGTGGCGGCAAAGTCATCTGGGAACAATATGAGAATAAAACGAAGCCTTGTCAATTAAAAAGGTTACTTCTCGGACCGGAGTGGTGGTGGGCGGGGTGTATCCCCAACAAACGTCTGTATTCAAATCCACACTTCTCCACTCATTGGCAAAGAGAAAGAAAACGCCTAGCCGAGTTCACATGGAAAGTATATCGTTAGGGGCAATGAGGCTTTTTGGAGGATGCTGTTTTGCACTTTGGGGGGGGGGGGAGTCTGTGTGCCTTACAAACGGAAGAAAACGTTAAGTTCAAGAAGAAGAGTCAAAATGACCAGCCTCACAGGCTAGTGCACTGCAGCAGGGACGAAGGAGCAGCAGACCGGCTACTGAGTCACATCTCAGACCATTAACACCGACGACAGGGGCAACTGAGAACGTCTCTCGTAACGAACAGACTGGACTCTTAAGGAGCCAAGCCGAAGCTGTGCGAGCTCCCCAAGCACACCGTGGAGACCCGCAGGCCCACCCCCCGTCGCTTCTGGCTCCGATGGGCCAAGCGGGCAGTGGGCAGCGCGCGGGCAGGAGGGCGGCCAAGGACAAGCAGCCCAGGCCGGGCCCACAGACAGGCCGATGGGCCGCGGTCCTCGGGGAGGTGGACCGGGCCGCGGGCAGCCGGGGGTCACGCACGCGCGCCGCGCCGCCATGCCGCCGGCCCAGCGCCCGTTACCCAGGAGTCCAGCGCCGCCCCGCCCGCTCGCAGCACTACCTCGAGCTCCTGGTTCTCGCACTGATCCAGCAGCTTTTTGAAACTGAAGGCACTTTCCGCCATCACCGCCACTGGCATCTTCCCGCCGGCGCGCCACCGCCGTTCCCTCCAAAGCCAGACCCGACCCGGCCCCGAGGGAGTCGCGCGGCGATGACGTCGAGCCCAACCGCCGGCGAGCACGCATGCGCAGGCGCGACGCCGGCCTCGGCGCGCCGGGTGACGTCACGCGCCCCGGAAGCGCGGGGGCCGCTCTGGCCGGCGGCGTCTCAGTGCCCTGGAGGACTGGCCGACCTCGCCGGAAGTGGGCGGGCGGGAGTGAAGGTCGGCAGTGTCCCTGGCCTTTAGCTCCGGTCCGAGGTCCACGCTGTGGTCACTTTATATGCAGAAAACAGCGGCTTTGCAATGACGGCCGTTCTTCTGTAAGCAGAGTTAAACACTTACGTGTACGAGAGAGGAGCGAGCGCTGCTGTCCGGCTCCGGACCAAGCCCTGGTCACCCTACGTGCGGAATTGATGTTTCTGTGTCACGTGCTTGATGTGACAACTCCGAGGACTGATGGATGGGCGCACGTAAAACCTCGACTTCATTTGTCATAGAAACACTGCAGAGTCAGCCCAAATCGAGAAATGGAACCCTGTCGAGAACGGGGGGACGTCCACGTGCGTAGGTGCAGGACTGACTTACAGATGACCCTTGAGCAGGTCTTCACAGGCACAGAAAATGGTCTTTCTCGCCAGAAGCAGTTGATGGATTCAAACTGCTTGCCTTTGAGTTAGCAGCACACCTCCTTAACCTCTCGGCTAACTGAGCCCCTACCCATTGCTGGTCCTTAGAAGTAAATGTTGATCTCTGTGCATTAGCCTATTACAGATACTTCGTAGAAATAACAGTATACCATTTTTGTCCTTTACATAATTTTTTTGTTTTGTTTGGATCCCCTTTCTCTTGTTTCTCATCTATTAACTCTTCAAGCTTTATTCTGTTAATAAACTTTTCCTTGTTGCTGTTATGTGCCATTGATTCTCTTGCAACTCACAGTGGCTTTATGTACAATAGCTCTGAACCCTGCTCTGTCTTGAACTGATTACATTGTTTCTAACACGTCTACCCCCATTATCCCAGTCACTGAGTCAAGCCATCTCATGCATTATCTTCCTCTCTTGTGCTGACCCCCCATCTTTCCAAGCATGATGTCCCTCTCTAAGGACTGGTCTCTCCTGGCAACGTGTCCAAAGTATGTGAGAAAGAGCTTCAAAATCCTTATCTCCAAAGAGCAGCCTGGTTTCACCCTCTCAAGGGTTCACCTGTTTGTTCTCCTAACAGTCCATGGTATATTCAATACTCTTCTCCAGCATCACAACTCAAAGGCATCGATTCTTCTTTCATTTTTAGTCATTGTCCAGTTCTGTGATGCACAGCAAGTAATTGCATGCCAAGACTGTGGCCTGGATCAGACACACCTTAGGCTCTAGACTGACATCGTTGTTCTTCAGTACTCTGGAGGGGTCCCTGACAGCAGATTTTCCCAGTGTGATTCATCTTTTGATTTCCTGACTGCTGGTGCCAAGAGTGTTGATTTTGGAGCCAAGCAAACTGAAGCTGTTAACAATCTCAATCTCTACTCCATCTGTCATGATGCTGCCAATTAGCCCAGTGGTGAGAATCTTTGTTCTCTTGATGTTGAGTTTCAATCCATATTGAAGGCTGCAGTCCTTGACCTTCTGCATCATAGGCCTCAGGTTGTTGTCAGTTTTAGCAAGTAGGGTTGTGTTATCTGCATAAAGCAGATAGTTGTTGTTCCAGTCTCGATGCCACATTCTTCTTCATAAAGTCCAGCCTCCTGGATGATCTGTTCTGCATATAGATTGAAAAGGTATGGAGACAGGATGCATCCTTAGTGTATACCTTTCCTGATTTTGAATCATGCAGTGTTTCCTTGCTCTTTTCTGACGACTCCTCCTGGTCCAAGTGCTCAATTCTATCATTCTGTCTCCAGCCTATTTCTGTCACCAACTTCCTATGTACAACAGAGCACACTTAGATTAGTCTAGCAGATACGGCACCAGGGGCAGGACCTCCTCACTGAGAATCACAAAGGAGAAGGAACAGTTGCAAACAGACTACTGATTGGAATGTGGAATGCAAGAAGTATGAGTGTAGGAAAGTTGAAGATTATTAAGGAAAAAATGGAACACATAAATATTGACATACTAGACATTGGTGAAATGAAATGGATTGGCAATGGGACCTTTTGAATGGGACAGTTATATGCTGGAAATGAAAAGGTGAGGAAAAATGGGGTCACATTCATAGTTAAAAAGAGCATTTCTAGATCCATCGTGAAATACAACATTGTAATGTTGTGAGTGACCAGATAATATCCATAAGAAAGGTGACCCAACTGAGTGTGGAAACTACAGAACAGTGTCATTGATTTCACATGCAAGCAAGATTCTATTGAAGATCATCCAAAAACGATTAGAACAGCACATCAGCAGAGAACTGCCGGAAGTCCAGGCTGGGTTTAGAAGGGGTC